TGCTCTGATCTTCATCTTCTGTGTGTTGCTTCGTGGATAACAGGATTGTTTTTAAAGGTTATGAATGAGCCTGCAAAAAGTGTTTGACAACTTTACTGTTACAGCTCAGCTGCTTCAGATTCACTAGTCAGTACTTCTTAAATGTTTGGTCTTACTAATGGCATCTGTTACCATGGCAGAGAAATGCACTTTAACCACAAGGGTATGTTCCAAGTTTAATGAAACAACATTTTTAATACAGAGATCAAATCATTAGCACTGCTCTGGTGTCATTAGAATGGCATTTCATTTAAATGTGGCTTTGTGAAGTTAAATTGACTGACATGGGGCATGTTTGAAGTGGGTTTTTGACGAATTGCTTAATGGTTAGGACATGAAATTGGGGTTTTTCCTGGCACTAAATGGCCATTTGGGGTGATGTAATCATACACAAATGCGCAACTGATCTTTGTTACCTTACTCAACAGAAGGTCATCATGTTGTTTGTGGTCATTTTGCTGATTTACCTTTCGTGGAAGGTCTTGTTTTTGATTAGCCTTGATGATCTTTTTTTTTTTTTTTCTTTCTTTTTGTGTTCACTACAAAAAGCTCGTGAACATAGGGTGAGGGTAGGGATGCAGATTGACCGGTAAATTGAGAACTTCACTTTTATGCTCAGCTCTCTTTTTTTACCATGTGGACTGGTAGCATCTGCATCGCTGCAGCTGCAGCACCATTTGTTCTGTCAATCTCCCGCTCCCTTCACCCCCTCACTAGTGAACAAGATCAGAGATACTTGAGCTAAAACCTTTGATTGTATCTACATGCCATATTGAAATTCAAACTTTTTAAAAATAAACCAGCCTACAGCTTTTTTTTTTTTTTTTTTTTTTTTTTTTTTTTTTTTGTAATTGACAGATACAGTGAAGAAATGACAGGAAAGCAGAGGGAGAGAGAGACGGGGGAAGACATGCGGCAAGGGGCCGCGGCCCGCGGGTCAAACCTGGGCTGGCTGCTCTCAGCCGTACGGCACGTGATCGCCTGCTCAATGCACCGAGCTAAACTGGCGCCCGGGTATCAGACTAAGTTAACAGTTCATCCGCATATTTTGATACAACTTCTGGAGGCTTGCTGCAGATTCTTCACGGTGTAAAACAAATGGCGGTGGATGGAGCAGATATAAAGTTTACTTCACGTTGGAGTTTGTTGATCGGGTGGTTTGATGAAGGACTCCTGCTAGCTTTTTTTCCCGGCAAAGGTTTTAAAGGTGATCACAGGAACAGCGCTCCTGTTTTGGACACTAGATACACGTTTTTGGGTTGTTGTTTTTTTTTTTCTTCTCACTCAGCCTGAGCTCACTCTCGGTAATGGCTCCGCCTCTTTGCTCTTCACCGTGTGTAAACAGACTCTGGCGCAGTGTTAAACCTCTGATAACATAACACAACAGTGATGACGTTGGCAATGTTTTTTTGGTGTGTGTGTGTGTGTGTGTGTGTGTGTGTGTGTGTGTGTGTGTGTGTGTGTGTGTGTGTTGTTGTTTTTTTTTTTTGTTTTAACAACAGAAAGGGACTGCTTGACTCTGTATTCAATCGTTGCCCTTAAAGACGTTTGTATTGCAGGTCCGTTTTCACTCGCAGATGTGGGTGTAATGCTCAGATTTACATCATTTGACACGTCAGCACACTACAGAGCCGTGTGTTAAACGAAGCCTCGAAGCAAAGAATTTGTATCAGGAATTTTTTATAATCGAATTATTCGAAATACTCTATGAATCGTTGCAGCGCTACAAGGAGCAGTTTAAATATAATTACACAGTTTTGGCTGAGCTTGTTTTGAGGTTCATCAGCAGCAGGTATAGCCATCTCAAATGTTTAATATTGTCAGAGAAATCCAGTGTGAAAAGGGCTGCCCTGCATTGGTTTGCTCTTTTTGGTATGTAAAAGGGAAGTGTTTATCTCTGAGCCGTTGTACACCTGACAGCCATTAAATCAGTACCATTAGAGAGAGCTCTGTTTACCTGCAGCTTGAATATAATTGTCACTCAGATTGTTGGAGGTAGTTGTTTCCATAAAGTATATTACTCTGTTCATTAGCCTGTGTAGAAATGTACTGGGTGGGAATGAGACTCCTCATTAGAAGGCTTATACAGTTTGTGTCAGGAGCTGCTTTGGCATCAAGCAGCACATGTACGAGCGGGGGTGTGATTGATTCTGTCGCCGATACAAACAAACCTGATTCCAAACTCCATCGCAAGCAGTCTTGTGTAAGTGTGCAGTGGACTGAATTGCAGATTAACATGGCATCACATCCACACCCTGCAGCTGGTGTGTCAGTGGACAAATATTTTGGTCTGAATCATTTCACACTGCCTGTGAGACTCCCAGATACTTTTTTCCCCTCTTCCTGTGGCTGTCATTTACATCACACTCCTACCTTTTCTAGCATTAAAGCTGTGTCGGCGACTGCTTTATGTGATGTGGCTCCGACAGTTTGTCAGGAAAATTAGTTGGACTTGTTCAAGTCTTTATCGTGACTGTGTGGCAAGTGTGAAAACACATGGCTGAACACACACTAGACAAACCTGCTGAATTCTTAACATCCCATCAGCAAAGGCTCTCTGTGACAGAAACTGAGTTTTTTGTTTTAAAAAATTTTATTTTAAAAAAGACGCTAACCAGGATGGTCAAAAAATACAAAATTTTTGGTCATAATTACTCAAGCTTTTTGTTTATCACATGGGCAAAAATAACAGGAAAACTGTTAGCACAGATTCTTTGTCTTAATTATATGCTTACTAATTGTTCCTGAACATTTTCATATCCCATGGACTTGTTTTGAGCCCGTTTACATATAATCATGTTTCCTGCTAGTCATTAAAGTCTTACCTGGAAGATAAAAGTTAAAAATTAGGTTTTCAAAAGCCTTTTTTTTTTTTTTTCTCACAAGATTGCTGTAAGTATTAAATTTGCAGATGCTCAACAATTTGATCCATTTGTTATCATGCATATCTATCATCTCTTACTATCTAGAACAACATGCTAACCTAATGGCATAATTACAGATGTCTTTTACTGGCTTGTTACCAGTTTGACACCACAGGCTGAGTGTAGATGTTGTCGCTACCGCTTTAATTGTGGCTCACTTTGTTGGCCATAAAAGTTACTCCCTATGCCTTAATTCAGCTTTAAGGGTACCTTTATAAAACAAATCCGGTTACCCGTACGGATCAGGAAGCCAAGTGTGCAGTGTTTGACATAACTGACCATGACCTGATAGGCTGAGGACAGTTTAAACAAAGTTGGTGGGGCAAGTTAAGACACCTGCTGGCCTGTTCGGACCACTGACAGTTTTCACCAACCACTACTACTTATGAGTTGGTCTGTGAAGTAAACCAGTTTAAGCAACACTCACTAATTAATATCAATGTTTTTGTTTTCTTCCTCTTCTTGCCCTCGGTAACATATTGTTATGTGCTGAACAGAACATTTCATAGTGGTGTGGAAAATGCAGCAGGAAGGTGACTGCTGCAGGACCCCACAGTGCAAGCATTTCACACATTTTCTGCTAAGAACAGATTAGGGTTTAATAAAAAGTGCAAAATTAAGCACAATTATTATTGAAGTTGAAAAAAGCATCAGAGATGTCATAGTTTCTGGTTAAGCTAGCTAATCCTCTTTGATACAGTAAGCAGCGAAGACAGTGGTGCCACTTAGACGTTGAACACGGGTGGAGTGAAAGAAAATGTTTTCTTGGAAACATTTGTGGGGAAAGAAGCAAGAGCACTTTATCATTTTGCCTGTTTAGTGAGATTAAAGGTGAAGAAAAGCTGTCTTGTGGGCTCCTCCCATCCACTGGAGGTTTGCTTTATGTTATGACAAAGCTAAAGAATAAAGAACAAGTTTTAAAAGGTGTGTGCAGATGAGCAGCTTGTTTCGTTTTCCACCATGGTTAATTTTGGCACATTTTTCAGTTTAACTTTGCTTCATGTTGTAGCTTGTAGCAATGTGTCTACTCGTATATTAAAAACGTAAAACACACTGATGTGGAAGGTCATCACAGGCCAGGCTTGTCATGCACTGGTGGAAGCTCTGAGCAGTAATTGTTAAAGCCACAAACCATAGTCACGTCTTCAAATTCCTTGTTTTGTCTTAAAATTAGTCCAAAGTTCACTGCAGTCATTTGTTTATAAAGAAAACCATGTAGCACAGTTTCAGGGATTAACACATGGCTGGTTAGTTTAGTCGTTCTTTTAAACCTGGAATATAATTTGTTGTTGTTGTTGTTGTTTTGTTTAATACTTTTTGTTAAGATGCATCTGATTTATTTTTTTATTTGGTGTGTGTGTGTGTTTTAACCTGGTAGAGGGCCCTTGATTATGTTTATGATACAGCCTGTGTCGTTGCTTTTTTTTGGAAGACATTGGTTTTACAGCCAGTAGCGTGCCAATCGTTGCTTCTTCACTGTGCATATTTACAGTCCTAATGAAGTGTTTGCTATCTCTTTGCTGCAGCCACATTAGCGAGAAGGGGAAGTGGGTTTCACGTCCTCTAGCTTTGGTTTGAACTGCAGCCTAAGCAGAAAGACATGCTTTTCGAGGTTGTGCATATCTAGCAATTTTCCACTGATCAGGTTTTCTCAGACGCTGCCTCTCGTTGCATACTTCACAAGCTCATGTTGTGGTGTTATGTTTTGGTAAGCATTTAAAAGTGTGTCTTGTGTTAGTACCGTGTTATTTCCAAAATCTGTAGTGTATTATTACCTCCAAATGATGTGTCTACCTGCTAAAGTGTCTGTTGGACTGGTCTGCTAACAGAATTTGTCAGCAGTTGGTTGGTGGGAGGTGTTAATTTTCCAATCTGGTGGTCTGGTTCAAAATCTGAGGATCACGTTTTGATTGTTTTACGTCAGTCTTCATTCAGTCTTATTTACAGATCTCTTCTCTTTGCGATGTTGCTGAATCTCTTAAATTTCTCATCCCTGTGTGGTTTTTTTTGTTTTTGTTTTTTTTACCCCCTCTTTAGTCAAAGGATCTCGGCCAGGGAAGAACGTCCAGCTGACCGAGAATGAGATCCGTGGCCTCTGCCTCAAATCTCGTGAAATCTTCCTGAGCCAGCCGATCCTGCTTGAACTGGAGGCTCCCCTGAAAATCTGTGGTGAGTTTTAATTAACCAAAGGGGTTGGTGAGTTTCACGGGACAAAGAGATGATGTGGGTCTCAGAGGATGCACTTCAGGCGCACTCTGGCGCAGGAGAAGACGGTCATTATGAGAGGGTTTTCTCCTTGTTTGCTTGTCTGTAATTAACGCTTTTATCAGCTGATAAGCGTGGGCTGTTCTGGCAGAAGCAGTGAAAGCATGTTGTTTTTAAATTGCACATCTCTGCTGCCCCCTGCAGGTGATGTCCATGGTCAGTACTATGATCTGCTCCGGCTCTTTGAATATGGAGGGTTCCCCCCAGAAAGCAACTACCTGTTCCTGGGTGACTACGTCGACAGAGGAAAGCAGTCACTGGAGACAATCTGCCTGCTTCTAGCCTATAAGATTAAATACCCAGAGAACTTTTTCCTGCTGCGTGGCAACCATGAATGCGCCTCTATTAATCGAATCTATGGCTTTTACGATGAGTGTAAGTACAAAAGAGGCTTCTAAAAGGAAACCAAGGCAAATTTGCAACTTTAAATCTTGCATTAATTTTTTATTTTATTTTTATTTTTATTGGGGGGG